ATCTGTGGTTCATCTGCATTACCAAACATTTTGCCCTTCTCTAATCATCTTGTTTCCCCTTAAAAAACAAACCACCAAACCAATTTAATCTAAAAAGCCCCAGGAAGTACCCCCACATCTACTTAATACTAGCCTAAAAGACCCAAACAACATTTTACATCATTAGACTGTAACATAAAAATCATTGCTTCACCTAATAATTTTGTTCCATCACAACCTACATACACAGATCATCTGTGATCTCATGTTTTGAATTATGTCTTGTTTTACTGAATTTAAATAATGGAGCATGTTGAATGGATTAGGACGTGATCTGCATAGAAGAGGATGGATCATCCCAACTCACAGATGTCTTAAGATTTATTAACTGAATCTTCCTTTAAGATGAGATTTACGAAAGGGGTCTACTTCCAAAGTTAGGACAATGCAGAATGCAGATTAACAGAATACAAAGTCTGGGTATTTTGGAGGGTTTAGCACAGAGCAGTGCTTCACTTCCCAGCTGCAAATCAGAACAAGGAATTGTTTCTAGCAAACTCAAGTGATGGTATAAAGGAAAATGTTGGACTTCTTTGGGAAGCCTTACACTGCTGAGAGTAACAGAGAATGAAAAAGAAAGATGAAAGGAAGGATACACACTTAGGGATATTAATCTTTAAGGCTAATATGCTGTTACCTTTTCCTGCCTGAAATTTTCATATGTAAATCATGACCTTCCTTTACCACAACTACAAGAACCATGCTGAATTCAACTATACCTGGCCAGTGACATTAAAAGAAAAAATCCAACGTGATTAGATGGACAAGAAAGCCTTGAACAGCATTTCCTTGTTTTAGAAGTACTGTTAAATTGTATCTTCTTTAAAGAATGGAATATTTAGTCTAAGCTTTCATTTCAAAGGACTTCCTCCCACAAAAAGGGGCTCAGTCCTGAAAACAGAACCAGATAAATGAGTCCTCAAAGTACACAAACCATTGAACAATCAAGAACATAATGGTGAGATATAAGTGCCCTTAAAGTTATAAAGAAAAAAAACTGTAGGAATTGACAGTAAGAGGGGCCCAACTTCACAAAGCTTATCAACAACTGCCTTATGAAATACCTCTCTTGGGAAAGCAATGTCACCAACATCAACAATGTTGCACGAATAAATCAGCTCCTAGTTACAATTTCTAAATTAAAACTCTCACCACATGTTATCAGCACAGGTTCCAGAAGAACTGGAAGGACTGTCTGCCCAGAGCCTATTCAGTTCTCTCACTTCCTTCTGAAATCAGCGCTTAACAAATGGCAAAACATCAGCCTTTTCAAGAAAAGGACTTGCCTACATTTAAAAATAACAAATAAGTTTAAAAATAGGCTAAGGTAGAGAGAATGTTGTTTAAAAGCCAGCATATTGCTTCCTGACATTTCTAGCTTTCCCTATTCAATGAAGCTCAAAAACAAAAGAAAGGACATGAGTAAAGCTGGGACTTGGCAAACTCTAGTGGGGAAATAATAGGAAAGGCCAAAGAAACCATGAAGGAACAAATAGAAGAATGACAATTTCACCTGTGGCTTTTGTAAGCAACTATGACAGAAACATTTACCAAATTGCATCTTCCTTGTGACCAAGTTTAGAAAATTTTTTAGGCTCAGGCACTTTCTGTGTCACATCATTTGTTAAAAAGTTAAAAAGAAGGAATTAGTAAGGTTAACTCTGCTTCTCAAAAGCATCCAAAATAAAAGTATCTAGCTTAAATCACCGGTTCTTAAATGTGGACATTAAATTGCTTTACCTCTGAAGTTGGGTTCAGTTAAATGACTGTGAAACTCTAAAAGTCTCCTAAACAACCTTCTTTTTTTTTTCTTATTTTGATAGAGTTTTAACATTTGTTTCAGTTTTCTGAGCACATAACCTTGAGCAAACCACAAAGTCCACTGCCAAGCTACAGTAAGGATCTAGCCAACAGAAAAACTGCCTCCAGAAGCCTTAGATCCTCCATTTCCCATTTATATTTTCACCCTTCTCTGTGAAAGTCTCCTGCTGCCAACTATACCACCCCACCCAACCTCCTGTATCAGCTCTGAGCAAACTTTCAACTATTGCAACTACCTAGAACTGGAGAAATGACGCCACTGTTTCCATTCAGTGAATATTTTTGCTATGTCAGCAATTTACTGTATCTTAAAAACAGGCCTGACAGGTGTTGGAGTAGACTCCTGGGATGTACATACAGCATGGGATGAGGAGCAAGAAAGGAGAAGGTGCAATGGCCACTGCTAATGTAGCTCACAACATCAGACACAGCCTCCACAGCCTACAGAGTGCTTAAGGCCTCCAGCCACCCCACCTGTTTCGACAGAAGACTCCCTACCAAGTTGCTAGCTAACAAATATGCTAGGAAAGCATCAGTAAAGGCTTCTTGGTATGAAAATAGTAGTCCTTTGCCCTAAAAGCTTTTATTGTTTCAATAAGAAATGCATTGATTTGGAATGGTACAGAGAAGAGCCAGCACATTACCCAACTGTATATCACATCTTCATACATGAAAACTCAAGGAATTTAATTGCTGTGGTTTATCAAAGTGGGAGCAAGAAAACTGGCCGAGGATTACAAGCTGGCTACGAAAGAAACCCCTATTTGCATCCTTCAGCCTCATGAAATCTAACACCTTGATTCAAGCATTTGTAAATCCTGTCGAGAAAATGATAAATTTGAAAACAGAAGCTGGGCAAGTTCAGATTCAAAAGAAAGATGTATCAACAGCAAGAGAGATGGTTTAAAAACAACAACAACAATAAAAAAGACAGACTGAATTTTCCATCATTGAAAGCATTCAAATCAAGAATCAATATACCCCCAGCCCTCCTTGGAAAGTATATTCTAGTTTAAACAGGAATCAATTCAGGAAGCACTAACAGCCCATGCAGCACAGGCCACGCTGGACTGTCAGTCACCCTTATCAGCTATATAGGATTTGACACCATTAAAGTTCAAAAATTCATACTCCAGACAACTATAGTTTAGTTTTGCTAACATTTCACATAAAATACAAATACACCTTGCATATTTCTTTCAAAAAGAGGCAATTTGTGAAGGAGCACAAGCAGAAGGTGAGAAATTTGTTTACAATTTAAAAACCAAAAATTCACGTTCCAAATGAAATGGTGACTGGTTAGTTGGCTGAGCTCCTAAAAACTGTTTTTTCAGCCAGTTACTCCCTTACCCTGCTCAAAAAGACAATATATTCTTTACTATAGCTGACGTTCGCACAACATGAACAAAATAGAATCCAAACCAGGGCAGTTTGCAGAGAGGGACCCATCTCCTGGGTAGAGCTCACAGAAAACAAAGTAAGCTTCTCTTCAGTACTGCTCAGAGTTACCAGCATAACAAAATAATAGCAATAAAATACCAACTCTTTCCTGACTACCACTTACCAATTTTAGCCTTCAAGTCAAGGTACATTATCATATCTTGCAATGTGTAGAATGAAAAAATTGCACCACCTGATTTTAAGCCAGTCTGGATTAGGAAGTCAGAAATTATACACCCTTCCATCTGGGGCCATAATGTTTCCAAAAAATATTTAAAGACCAGCAAAGTGAAAGTTTCCCTATGTATGAATAAAATGGATCATGTATTCGGCACAGAACACAAGATCCCATGAGGATACTGCACCTCAAAGTGAGCTGAGAAACAGTACACTGGTTTAGTACAGTATCTGCCTCACATACTGTGTATTATGTGGTATATACTCACCAGAAGTAATTTTCTTGCTACCTACAATCGTTAGATTGAGTAAAAAATATTCACACACACATCCCATGAATTACTGGAACTCACCAATGTAAAAACCAAGTCTATCAACAATATTTTAAAAGCTCAACAGAAACAAAAAATTTCTCTATATTGACTATATTTACTGTATTTTTACACTGCCTAAGTGATTTTGAAACCTAAAATCAAGTTCTCTGTGCTTTGGAAAAAGTTAATCCAAACTTGAGCCACCATCAGCTTGCATGGTTACAAAGACAGCTACTTATACACTAAATCTGACACATTCAAGATGTGGAATTTCTTCAGCACTGAGAAGAGCAACATAAATAGTGCACTGTATGAGAAAGGCCTCAGTAAAAGGAAGTTTTTTAAACTGCTGGCCAACCTAATGGAATCAGGTGACTCAAAGCAATACTTCAAATACCAAAAAAGTCTTCCTGAGATACTTAGACAAGTCACAGATGAGTTGCCGGTGCATGTTAACTCACACCTACACAAGCAGAGATGCTTTCATCAACCAATATAGTAAACAAATATTGTTTGTTTAGAAAGGGGCCATTTTCAGATAGGATGGGCTAATTTTGACAGCTGCATTAGCAGCAGATACTGTTGAAGAACTGAACAAAACAATTTAACTTCCTGTCTTTTTTTTTGTTGCTGTTGGGTTTGTTTTTGTTTTTTTTTTTCGCGTGTAAAATCACAGCTTACTCTTAAGAGGTCGCGCAGTGCGGACTCTGGGCTCCCACCAGAGATACGGCACAGCCACCCCCGGATGCCACCGAGGGGGTCAGCATCAGCTGCCCTGACGAGCGGGCCGGGACAGCCGGGCCGGGACAGCCGGGCCGGGACAGCCGGGCCGGGACAGCCGGGCCCGCCGGTGGCCGAGGCCTCTCCCAGCGCCCCGCCGCTCCCCGGGCGCGGTGGCAGCGGGGCAAGGGACGCCGGGGCGGCAGGAGCAGCAGCCTCGGCCTCTGGCGGCTCTACGACCCTACAGTCGTTCCACTGAGGAGCGGGGACGGAGGGGCACAAACACAGCAGAAAAACAACTTTCCCCCGCCCCGGAGTCGCCGAGCCCCGAGCAGGGGCCGGGCAGTGGCGCCGAGGCCCGAGCGCGGCGCTCCCTCCGTCCCTCCCGCGGCTCCGGCAGGACCGGCTCCCCCGGCCCGCAGCCCGTCTGCCCGGGACCCCCGCCCGCCCGGCCGGGCCCGCTGGCGCAGAGCCCCGGGCGCTGCTCACCTTGGTGGCCATGGCGCTGCCGGCCGGGCTGCGCTGCCGCTCTGCCCTCCCTCTCTCTCTCCGTGCCGCGGCTACTCGGTCGGTCGGTCGGTGTGTCCGGCCCGCCCGCCGCCGCCGCTGGGCCGCGCAGGCGGCTCCTCCTCAGCGTCCCCGGCCGCCGCCGCCGCCTCCTGGGGGCCGCTGCGCGGCTCAGCAGCCAAGCGCCGGCGCTGGGCAGGCGGGGGCTGGTGTGGCCGCGCCGCGATGCCCCCGCCTCGGCCGCCCTTTCCGCCGGCTCGGCTCGGCTCAGCACCCGAGGGCAATGGCGGGGCTTTGTGCCCGCAGCCTTTCCGGCAGGGCCCGGGGGAGGGAGGCACCCGCCGCGCTGCGCTGATCCCCGGGGGAGCCGCCCCGGCCGGTCCCGGGGGCGATGGGGGCGGGCGGACGGAGCTCGCCCACCCCCCATGCCCTCAAGGGCTTTGCTTTGCAGTCAGAGTTTGGCCTCACATTCGCTCGCGTGGGGGGGAGAGCCCGCAGGAAGGCGTTATGTGCCCCTCGGGTGCCTTTGAATGGAAATTTCAAAGCAACCATACAGCAAGGAAAGCAATTTTTTCCTCGGCCAGGCTCCATCCACGGCTGCTAGGGCAGTGTACATCGTCCCTGACCTGTTTCGGCCGGGCCTTGGTGTACAGCAGTTATCAGCAGCAGTACAAGGCACCAAGGAGCTATAGCTGCTCAAGGGCGGTAGAGTTCCTGTTGGGCACTCTATGACCATCTCATAGAAACTGCCTGCAGCCCCACTTGACTCCCAGCCTGCAGGAGAGATGAGATGGGAGGCTAAAGCAAAGGGAATTTGAAAATACGGTGGTAGTGATCGTACAAGGTACTGCACCATCCAAAAAGTGCAGCTTCTTGTTGCTATATTTATAGTGGTTGGCCTGGGATCAGGAAACTTCCTTTCTGTAGAAGGAAATACACAGTGTAATCATCAGGGACACCAGGGAGAGCCCCAGGAGGCAGGTAGGCTGTAGGGAAACTGCATAGAACTCTACATCTGTATTTCCTTGCCCATAGAATTACAAGCTTTTTTCTGCCATTGGTATAGTTTCTCAGTGAGAGCTTTATTAAAAGAGAAAAATACATTCACAGGTTAAACATTGGAAAAAAAATTCCCTAGTTGGACCTGTGAAATAGTTTCCACGGAAAGTGAGGATGAGGAAATAAGAGGAAGCTGGCTGTTCATTTGCCACCACTTTTTGAGTGATTGAACTGATTAACTTCAGAAGTTTCCAAACTCATTTGCTTCTGGTTTTAGCTTTTTCAGAATTCAATTAAATGCAACATTTCCAACTTCCTACTCTCTGTAACAGTAGTACCTAAAGCGAAACCTTTCTGTGTGGCTCACAAGTGACGTTGTAGGACACCACCTTTAAGGTGAAGTATTGTATTTAGCATCAGTTTTGCCATGTGGTCCATCAATAGACTGGCATCTCATCTACCTTACAAGCAAAACTCCCTGAAAGTGGCTTCATTTCTGTACTAAGACATCCTGTTCTTCCATTTTCTCAGCAACAATCTTTCCAACATGGCATGTTTTGATCCTTTTTTTTATAAAAAGGGGAGAGGTATGGAACCCAGAGACCCAGCACTGTCTCCTTTAGGGACCCCTAGCTGATAGGACTGTGAAGCACCCTCTGTCCTTTCTCCAGATGCTGCTTTGCTATGTGAAATATAATAAACTTGTGGCTTTAGCATAAGCTTGAGTCTGTGTCATTCTTTACCTGTGGTCAGCACAACTGCCAGAAAAGTTTAATGTGCAGCTGCTACCCAGTGTGGTTTAGCAGAGCTCTGCTTGCCTTCTGTGGAATGAAGAGCACAGTCATGATTTGTTCAGCCTCTCTGTGTGCTTAAAGCCTCCACAGTTTTCCACTGTGAGGTACTCCTGAAAATGTCTTACTTGACGAGTTTGAGGGATGAAGGAAATATTACCATTTCTCTCAATGTGAGAGAATATTCTGAGGAAAAAAAAATTAATGGGATTTTTCCAATACTATTTGCAATTAGTTGCTGTTAATTCTTGTTTCAATGAAGATATTCTTAGGAATCACTTTGGATTGCAACTAAACCTATCCCTTCTTAGCAGTAAGCTTTATTATTTCTTAACACAGAGAGCCAAATACCCACAAATTGCCAATGAAACCACCTAAAATTTCCCAGACTTCTCAAATTAGTTACTTTTCTGCTACCAAGCTGTGTCCTAGTTAATTAGGACTGGATGTTTGCTTAGCATTAGACATAAAAGAAATCTCAGTGGCTTCAGTGGGGTTGTTTACATATCTAAGCATTTGGTAGTTTTGAAATGTAGTGCTCTGTGTGGAGCTTATCAGCTTTCAAACACAGCTGACTAATTATTCACTTTGTACTAAAGCCCCAATGTACCTCAGAAAAAAACAATCAGTAACAGAAGAAAATCTCCTACCCAGAGAGAGAATATAAGTAAATTCTCTCTCTTTACTAGGTGTGTATTTTTGCAGCTAGCTGGTCTGCAGTGGTTCCCAGGAATGCCGAGGTCATGGAGAAATGATCTTCTACAAAACCTCATCAAATGAAAAGCTCCTGCCAATGAGCTAGTGCTATGCAGATTTTTTAAATTAAAGCTGGACTCTGAGAAGGGACATGGAGAACATTTGCTGAATATGTTCCCTGCTCAGCAAGGCCTGCCTGTAGCTTCAAGCTCACAGGAAGTCGGTGACCTTGTATGTTCTGACTTATGCAAACTTGGTGGGGAATGGTAAAGAAACAGTGTTCTTCAGATAACCTTCAAACTGAAAACCATCTGGAGAAAGAACTACATTTTGGGTTTATAAGTTACTGTCCTCAGGAGCTCCTTGAGGTGGTGCACCTTGGATTTGTCCCTGCTGGGAGCCTGTGCCCCTGGCAGTACCTGGGTGATTGAGGTGGCCCTGAGGCGTTCAACTCAGCTCTGGAGGCATTTTCAGCAACAATTATCACTAGTGGCAAACAACTTTGCAAATGGAGCAGGCTGTCAAATGCATGTTTTTGGGAAGTCTTTGCAGGAGGCATACAGAGATTATATTGTCCTAGGTCTTTATTTTCAAAGGTGTTTTATAAAGTAAGAACTGATTTAATTTTTTTCTTGGTTGAAAGCCTAACAATGTGGTGTGTGTGATAACATCAGTTCCACACTAAATGCTTTTAGCCCAAGGTTTCTAACTACATTAATCAGGAAAGCCTAACAATGACTAGGGAGCAGTTACAAAAACATTCCAACTATTTTTAATTCCTTTTAATTATCATGTTTACCTTACTCACCTGATACACACCTCTTTGTTTAAGAAGGGGTAGATATTTTTCACATTTTCAAAGCCTCAAAATAAAATTTATTTTGTTTATGAATCGAAAAAAGAAGTACTGTATTCTTCATCTTCAGAAGTCATATCTGCACACCTTCACCCACTTCTCCCCAAGTGGTTCTTTGGGTGTCATGTTTTCCTCTCAGCTGAGCAGCAGTTTCTCTTTCAGAATTGTGTTAACACCATTTCTTCAGTGTTTCTGAGAAGTCTGCTAGATAGCAATATAAAATAGTGCTTCCTCCTATCTTCTGTATCCTTCCCTCCCCCAGATTTGGACAGAAAATGATAGAAGCTGCCACATGCATGAAACCTAGTGTTATCTGCACAGAGCAGGAAGGGAGCAGCTGCTGAATCCCATTTGTGCATTGCTCTGTTCAGCAATGTCCAGTGGCATCACTTGCAAATGTATCTGAAAAATACATTTAACAAAATGTATTCTGAGGAAAAAAATTGCTAATATTTTCCTTTGTTTTATGTTGGGAGCTTTTGGACACAAAGTACATGAAATCTTGAATCATATGGCATTTGCAGGGAAGCACGATTTTGCCTCTCATTTACCCAGAACTATGCGTGGCAGTTTAAAATGATGCTCAGGAGATTACAAACATGCTTTCCAATCTTACTCTGCACCTGGTGCTGGAAGATCACTATCAAAACAGTAAGGCAGCCAGTCCTGAAATACTGTTGGATTTTAGGTCCAGACTTTCCTGGAAAAGCTGCTTTAGAAAATTGCACCCACATTCTTGTGAGTTTTCAGTCTCTGAATTTCTCTCTGAATAAGCAGTTCTGAGAAAAACTGTGCTTCATGCATTTGATTGTGAATTAAGGATTTTATCTTCTTAGAGCTGATAATCCAATACCATTATTATCTGAACTGTGGCATATAATGTGGGCCCTTTTCAAGGTAAGTTCTGTTTTTATATAGTTATATTTCTAATAAACATACAGCCAAGACTGGTTTTGGGCTGTGTATGAATATACTGTTTTCTTTATACTGTGGGAAAAGTGCAATGTCATGCTTTGCCAAATTCTTTACTCAGGGTGTTGGGGTGTTTTTAACACATCTTCGTGAAGATAACAGTTTGAAGTCATGGTGGACTCCCCAGATTCAATTTTCTGTTAAAACTCCAGAAAAACAGCTTCTTTCACAGAAGATATGAAAAAGCTACTCAGCTACTCAAAAAAAAAAAAAAAAGAGAGAGAGAGAGAGAAAGAAAGGCAGAGACAAAATGTTGCAATGGGCTTTCAGACATGGCCAATTTTTGAAAGCACTTTTTACCTTTTTTTTTTTTTTTCTTTTGTGAAGTTGATTGCAAAGGTCATGTTTTGGTGCAGCTTTGATCACATTCAAGGGAGAGGGAGATGTATAGATTAAACACCTAGTGCAGATCCTTATGGATGAGCACCATGGCTGCAACAGTTTGGAGCTTGCTTGGTCATGATGATCTATTCATTCTTTAGATAATAGTGGGGGGAACAGGTTTTTTCTCTCTTTTTTCCTTAACTGTAACCAATGTTTTGAACAATTCTGGTATTCTTTTTCTCACTTTTCAGCAGAATAATCAGTGATAAATGTATGTAATTTTTAGCAGTATAAGCTTTGAAAGAAATTATACAAAAATCATGCTTTCTTGTGCAAGGTGCTTCTTAAAACACCTAACACTAATAAAATTCCTACTTTTTTTGCATTCCCTTCTGAGCTGTACCCTGTTTGATATTATAGATGCTTACATCTGAGATGGAA